GCAAGGAGGGGGCAGTTTGGGGCACCTTGCCAGCAGCGGGGGGCAGTTAAGGGTGACCAGGCCAGCAGCGGGGGGCAGTTAGGGGCGATCAGGCTGGCACGCAGAGACAGTGAGGGGCGATCAGGCCAGCAGGGGGGGTAGTTATGGGCGACCAGGCAGGCAGGCAGGTAAGTGATTAGGAGCCAGCAGTCCAGGATTGTGAGAGGGATGTCCAACTGACGGTTTAGGCCCAATCCCTGGGATTGGGCCTAAACCAGCAGTTGGGCATCCCTCAAGGGGTCCCAGATTGGAGAGGGTGCAGGCTGGGCTGCACCCTCCCCCCCTGTGTGTCTGTGTGTGTGTTTCCACGCCCCCCCATGTGTGTGTGTGTGTGTGTGTGTGTGTGTGTGTGTTTCCACACTAAGGCCATGGCTACATGACAGTGGCTTCAGCAGCATCAGGAAGACACAATTCTGTTGATCAGATCTGCCATGAATTTTTACCTTACCTCATTTTGCCTTGTTTTATAATCTGATCATTTTTAAATTAAAAATAAGCTGTTATTACAAAACCAACATATGTGCACCTTAGGAAAAAAATACAGATATGCAAACAAACCTTGTATACTCACCTTCCAAAAATTAGGACTGTTAATTCCTTACTATTTATGGTTCCAGATATTTGCATGTGCATTTATGTGCCTGTACTTTTACCAAATGAGTTACACTAATTTGCTATTTAAAATATTTTAAGTTAACACAACTCTTACTTCATTTCTCTAAATCTTTATCCTATTCTCCACTTTGTAGTGCCTCCAATTTTCCTCAGAACATCCCCCAAATTGCCCAAATGAGGATCCAGTCTGAGACCATGTATCACATTTGGTTGATGTATCCCTTAAATCTCTTTTATTTCTAGGATTTAAAGAATCTTTTCATGACATTAGATTTAATAAAGAGCCAATCAGTTGTCGGCCCTGCAGAATGTCCCACATTCTGAATATTTTGTTTCCTTCCTTATTGTAGTACTGAGCTAGTATATCTGGTTCCTCTATTTACTTCAAACGAGAAGTTACATCTAAAGGTTTCTTGAATTTAGGTGAAATATATTTGGCTAATATATATATATATATATCTTAGTAATTGTGAAGATGGGTTTATTTGGCTGATGCTGAGGGTTTGGGCTAATTAGCCTGCCTACACTCAGGAATGCAGAAAGCAAGTTGTGAGTAGCAAAATCAACTCAAAGTGGCCCATCTGCCCGCAAGTATTGTAACAGAAGCAATGAAGTTAAATCTACTCTTGTCTGATATTGTGTCATTTGCCAAGCGGGTGGGACATATATTATTGATGGCACTGCAACAGATGACACATTGAGTTTTCAAAAAAGTCAGCTTCTGTGCAGTGCTTTACAGGACAGTCATAAAAGCAGCCTGCATGTATGGAGCACAGGCTACGCTGAGTGCTTTGTGGGTGTCGCTGCTTCTGCTCACCTCTGCAGGTGGCGTGTTTGTTAGCACATTTGCCAGGAACGGAGTCCCGGTTTGTGTCTGGTCATAAGCTGTCTGAACCCAGAGCCCTGAGCTCTGCTTCCTTTATTCTCTCTGCTGCTTTTAGAATGTTTTGTTTTTATTGTTTTTATTTTCACATAGAGGTCTAGGATTTACTTTTACATATAGACCAGATTAATTTTGTTTGTATGGATACCTAGTTGTTTCAGTGCCATTAACAAGATTTGGGCTAGCAAGCTCAGAGAATACTGGAATCAACATCTCCCAGTCACCTCTCTCTGTTCCTTTCTTT